CCATGATACTTCATGGTATTTTTCTAAAATAAGAAGTGCATGCCTAACTATGGTTCATTTTCAAGTCACTGTTCCCTATACACAGTGCAAGACCAGACACTGTTGCAAGGTCTATACCAGTGATTCTCAACCTGTGGGTCCCCAGGTGCTTTGGCCTACAACTCCCAGAAATCCCAGCCAATTTTCCAGCTGTTAGGATTTCTGGAAATTGAAGGCCAAAACATCTGAGGACCCACAGATTGAGAACCACTGGTCTATCCTTTTGTGACTAGCAAAAATGGCTGACATCCATTTGACAAATCTTGTGACAGCTGGTAAGCTGTGTGCATGTCAAACTGAAACGATCTCAATTTATCAAGGTGCATGCTTTTAGAACACCTGACACCCCACCCTCTCTGGAGAGGTAAACCCAGAAGGATGTTTGCAGGCATGCTGATCTCTTGTATTAAACAATTCCTTTTAGTACACCGTTTGGAAAATACACAACAAATGGTTGAAATTAGGAGACCTCCGCTATAATTGAGTCTATGGTGCTGAGAAAACGTAAAGAGATGTCACTTCTGAATTAAGACAGCTTGTTTGTCCCTCTACTCCAAAGCCAAAAACCTGCATTGTGTATCCTTTTTGCAAGATATTTAATCTACAAAAGGTCAAAAATAAATTGATACCAATAATTAAAATATCAATTGTCACAGGTGCTTGGATGGACACAAGTATGAACCATAATTCTCTTATTTCTAGGCCAGGAATGGGCAAACTTGGACCCTCCAGGTGTTTTGGACTTCAACTCCCACCATTCCTAACAGCCTCTGGCCCTCTCCTTTTCCCCCTCAGCCACTTAAGCGGCTGAGGGGGAAAAGGAAGGGGCCTGAGGCTATTAGGAATGGTGGGAGTTGAAGTCCAAAACACCTGGACGGTCCAAATTTGCCCATGCCTACTCTAGGCCCTTCAACTAAAACCCAGTTAAGGTCAAGGATTATTTTCACACTGAAAGGAGGCACCAGTCTTTTAATTAAGCAATATCATTCAATTCATCAAGTCCTATATCCTCTACCTTCAAAAAAACACCATACATCATTTTTTTCATTTCAATGGCAAACATGCCAACTCTTGATCTATATTAACTTATCTTCATAATTTAACATAGTTATTTCAGAGTGTTAAAATGCACTGTTTACAAAGCGACAAGGCATGAATATTTAAGGAATCAAAGGAGTCCAATTTACTGATCCTTAAGCATGCTCTCAGTTCAAGCACTTGTAAAGATGCAAACCTACTCTGACAACAGTTCCACTCATTGCAGTAGAAACAGACACATATTAAAATTTAGCAAGCATCTTTTTATGTCGTCATGGTCAAAGTGATGACACTTCACATCCCGTTGTGCCATGAAAGCATTCTGCAGGGAGCTGCAAGGTCGTCACAACCTCTGAGGATGCCTGCCACAGTTGCAGGTGAAACATCAGGAAAGAATGCTTCTGGAACATGGCCATACAGCCCGAAAAACTTACAGCAGCCCTGTGTGACTGTATTTTATATAAGCAGCTAGTCAGAACACTAAAAACAATGATTCTGAACCTGTAGGTCCCCAGATGTTTTGGCCTTCAACTTCCAGAAATCATCACAGTAAACTGGTTGGGAATTCTGGGAGTTGTAAGCCAAAGCACCTGGGGACACACAGGTTGAGAACCACTGACTTAAAATGTTTTAACTTCAGCAAATTTTGTGTGTATATTTGAGGCTGCCCTATTTTCTCATATGCTTAAAGACAGGGAAATATGTGCACAGAATTCCTGGAAAAACAGATTGTATTCTTGCCAGTAAAAAAATTAAGCCTTGGAGAGAAACTATGAGCCTTATGTTGTTTGAGTCTAGTTCCCATCAGCCACAGTGCACACAGCCAATGATTAAGGAAGATGTAGTTCATTATAATGTGAAGGACAATAGGTTTCTCGCTTCTTATTGAAGCAGCCAACATGGTAGTCTTATTCCACTTGATCACTGATATTTATTTAACGAGGTTACACGTAGTCAGCTTGATAGGCACAAAGGCAATGCAGTGTATCAATGGGTCCAATTCAAAGCATAACACAAATGACAACATGATCTGGTCCTTACATTATCTTCATTTGTTTTTATGGAATGGTATTTAATACACTAAGGATTGGGATGGGAGGCAATGTATGGTCCATTGATTCCATAGCTCAAGGGTTCAGGAGGAAAGAGGCTGCAGATACAAGTCTGTATCCAAACAATCTTTAATGGAATGGGTAAATTGAAAAGGGGTAGACATCTCAACAACATACTGCGAAAATGACATGGCAGGTTGAGAGATTAAACTGCCTTGTTAACCAACACAAATCTGTCCTCTCTTTTCAGGGAAAAATATATACACTGTGCATTCTATTTTAACAAAAAAGTACAGAGGGCTAGGTCATTGACACTTATGAAAAAGATTTTTAAAATTCTGACTACTTGGGGGCCTGCTTGGTCAATTGATACTAATCTATAGGTGCCAAAGACAGATTTGACACTGTTCAGTACTCAAGGCTGTTATTATCCAAAGCCAGAAATGCTCTTAACAAACTATAGCTGAAACTCGCAGGAGGAGACTCTAAGGCACTCATGTGACCACTGGATTTAAGAGTCACTACATTCAGACCCTAAACTCCTTTTCTTAAAGGGGACGGCTAGATCCCTCTTCTTGCTCAACTGGTAAGTCCTCCCTCTCCCAAGTATGTTGACAGCAGTTCTGGATATCCATATATTTCCAGAGGGAAAAAACACCCAAGACATGGTTCTATTAGTGCTAAATCAGACCCTGGCAACTCCACCCTTACATGAAATATGACAGAATTTTACATTTTGACAGGATAGGTCAAACAACAACAAAAACATACTCTTAAATATCTTAATTACAAGAAGGCAGAAGCATTTTCTTGTACTGCTACAAAGTTGTTCAGTATGAAAGCTGCTGACACACTGATTTAGGAGATTTATTTCAAACCTGTAATTTTGCTATTTAAGCCTGTTGCAAAGCATACAGGGGAGATCATACTTTTATGATCTTCCTATTTCTACAGCAAAACCATCATTGTTATGAAGGATGTCTTGGCTAGATACGAAAATGATGGAGTCACCAAGCTGTCATTTTACTCACTTTATAGTCTGAAGAGCATCCACAGCAGATTTGTCTCAAGACTATTTTCATACAGCCCAGGGTATGTACTGAAGAGTATAAATTACTACTGGTAGCATATGAAGGGAAGAACTTCAACTATGTTTTAAGACACATGGCTGTAAGCTTTTTAAAAGGCAAAACATTGATTTAATACAATGATGGATTAATTGCCACACTCTGTTTGAAAGCCCAGGCTCAAAATGGTCAAAAGTAGAGACCCTGAGCTAAGACTATTTTTTTCAGGACATTTGTCTCAATTAGGGATCAAAAGAACATAGAAATCCCTAGCTTCTCTCCAAATCTTAAGAGGAGGAAGGAGGAGGAAACAGCTTTTAGGAGAGTGGCACAAACAAAATCCACACTGTTCTGATTTTAAAAAGCACTGACAAACATCAAAATGTAGTTGGAATTGGATTTTTTTAAAACCAAGACCAATGCAAGTTAGGTATCTGGAGAAATGCTGCCTATATCAATATTGCTGTAAAAATGGTGTGCCAAAATATTATCAAATTGATCAAGTAAACCAAGCATTATTCGAGCTGTATGAGGTCTAGTCAGAATAGTCAACTCCCCTATAGAAGACATCATTCATGGATTGAATAACTGCATATTCCTTCAGGATACAGTGATACATCCCTGTGCATAGAAATTTTACTTCTTTTTCTGAGATGATTTTATTTGCTGCAGCAATCTGCTTAATACACCACTGTTGTAAATGTTTACAATCACATCTGAAACAGCAGACAGTCCAAACACATGAGCAGCTCCAATGTGTGGAGTTGTATCTCAAGGCCACACTGTTGCAGCATGTAGGATACTTGGGATCAGACTCTAATGGACACTGAACCTTTTGATTCTGCAGTACAGCCTCTAAAGCTGCCATAATGCTTGAAGGCCAAAATCTGCCCCAGGTTCATCGGTTCAAACATTGATTGCTCTTAAATAGACAGATAAACAAACTGCACAGGAAGCTCCCCCTATAAGAACCACTGTGACTCAATTATTTGTTACACTGATTTCACAACAGTCACATTAGTGGCCCTTTTTGGGTGGTTTTCACATATAGATTTTGAGGAACAGTCATCCTTTTAAAATCTTAAAGGTTTTACTTAAAAACCTTTAACAATTATTTCTGTATAGTCAGTACCAGTTAATCATTAGGATTAATCAGCAAGGAATAATAAAACCTGACTAATCACACAATTATTAGTTCTATTTAAGTGTATTCACAGCTGCTTAGTTCACATTAAATCAATCATGTCAAGTTTTTGTTGATGTGTTTTTTTATTATTTTTTTCTGCAAAACCTAATACTCAAAAGTTTGAATTAGCTCCAGTATTCCAACACTTTGAAATCTCCTTTCCTCAGAAACTCTATTGCTTCGAGGAATTTTATTTTTAGTAGCTGGCACTTGGAAATGGCAATGGTCAGTTTTTAGAGATAATGGAGAATCATGGCCAAAAGGAACACTGAGAAAGAAAGGCGATTAGTCTTGCGCACGGAAAGGCAGCCAAGCAGCCTTAAGGAAAATTAATGGCATCAGATTGTATTTGAACTGAATCAGAGCTTTCGACAGCGAAGGCTGATCCCCCAAGTCTGCTTTTGAGATCCATATTTTAGAGGCTGTGGTGCACAATGAACATGTACATTTGTTGAAAGTGGTGATGAGAAGCCTGGGGCACCTCACACATTGCTGAACACAGCTTTCATCATACCTGATCACTTATGACACTGGGCAGGACTGATGGGAGCTGAAGTTCAACATTATTTGGAAGACCATGGGTTTGACAACCGTGTTAGAGGACACCATGTAACAAGGCGCTTCCTACAGAAACTCCCAGGTTTCACCCTTGGGGTCTTAATGAGACAGTTTACCATTTTTACAGTTAAAGACATGTATAGAAAGACTGAGGCCCTTTTCCCCTTTGGTTCCAGTTGATATAAAAACAGTGTTGTAATAATGCCAAAAAGGTAAGGAATAGTTCAGTATTGCGATGCTTTGAGATTCAGCTGAAATTTGGCAATCCAAGGAGGGCACCAACTGCGCCAAAGTAGCCCTGTGTTTAAAAGAAATTTCGACATAAATTTTAAATTCATTATAAAACTCAGCCTTTTTTCACAATCTTTTGCAACTTTTCTTGTGTATGTGCTTTTAATTCAACTGTTGACTTATGGTGACCCCATTAATTTCATAGGATTTTCTTAGTGAGTGAATACTCAGATAGCTTTCCTCCCCCTCAAATGTAGCCTGCAGCATCTGATATTTGTTAGTGAGCTCCCAACAAAAGATGATCCTGCTTGGTTCCAAGATCAGGTGGGATCTGTTGCCTTTAGGCTATCTTTTTTCATATAAATGTGAAGGTTTCCCCTTGACATTAAGTCTAGTCGTGTCCAATTGTGAGGGTGATGCTCATCCCCATTTCTAAGCCAAAGAGTTGACGCCTCCAAGGTAATGTGGCTGGCATGACTTGATGAAGCACCGTTACCTTCCCAACAAAGCGGTACCTAACCCTTACCCTATTGATCTACTCGCATTTACATGTTTTCAGACTGCTAGGTTGGCAGAAGCTGGGGCTAACAGCAGAGCTCACCCTGCTCCCTGGATTCAAACCACCAACCTTTCGGTCAGCAAGTTCAGCAGCTCAGCTGGAAAAATATATATTCACAACATGGCCAATGCATTGACTACAATTTGGACAATTTATGTTCTAAGCCACATGAAACATTCATAGGTTAGAGATGTCATCTGGTCTTGAAAACTAAGCAGGATTCGCTCTGATTGAAAGTTGGATGGGAGATCACTAAAAATATCAGGTACTATAGGCTGCACTTGAGAGAGAGGAACTGGCAAAACTATTCCTTACCTAAGAAAACCCTATGAAATTAACAGGGTCATCATACATCAACAGCTGAATTAAAGGAACATAAATAAGAAAACTCCCATTGTTCTTATACTTTTTTGTACTGCTATGTAGCTTTTAAAAAATATCAGCTTTCCCCTTATAGTGTCTTCTGTGTTCCTTTTCCAATCTGATGATACCGACATTAGGTCTGCAGAAGCTTATGCTACCAACTTCTTTTTCTCATTCTTTCAGGTTCTACAATATCCCTTGGCATAAATAAATAAATCTTCTTCTCATAAAAATATTATTTTTATTGATTTACTTTATTTTTATCCCACCTTACTCCTGATATAGGAACTCAAGGCTATCAACAGCAAACAATCTATAAACCACTGCATTTGCATGAAAATTATTTCTTTATTATTAAGGTACACTGCCCAAAATTCAGCATTTTTTTAAATTATTCCCACATTTCAAAAACAAACATCCTCTACACAGCTTTTCTCTTTCCACATTAAGAAGAAAAAAGTATAAAAAGAGGAACTTAACATTCTGGCTTTTCTACTCCATAGCAGTGATCATACATACCTCGTGTTCTAGGAACAAAGCCTTCAGCTGGCCTTTGGACCAGTAATCCAACGCATATGCCAAAAGCTTCATTGACAATGTATTCACACGTAAAAAGTTACCCACAAAGACGACACGGTTTATTTTCTAAAGGAAAAAAACAAAAGTTTCCTCACTAGGATGTAACAGAAAGTGATATAATTTTCTAATTACGATTGAGGGATCCTATGCATGTTTGCTTACAAGTAAATCCCACTTTGGCCCCATCTACACTGCCATATAATCCAGTTTCAAAATGCAGATTAACTGCATTGAACTGGATTATATGGCAGCACAGACTCACATAATTCAGTTCAACACAGTTCAATCTGCATTACATGAGTCTACTGAGCATATAATGTAGTTCAATCTGCATTATATGACAGTGTAGATGGGTCCTTTGAATCTTTTCCCCTAAGGGCATGGAAGGTTTACACAGCCTAGGAGGAAAGGGAAAAAACAGTTTGCCAACCCCCCCTTCCTTCTCCATTCTTCTTGTCCCCAAAAGTCCAGCAACTCTCTGTAGAAGGGAATGGAAGAGATTACAATGGTAAGGGAACTGCCAAAGGCTCTTACTGTTTCTATCGTTTTCCCACAGGAAAGCATCCCAAGAGAGGAAGTCTGTTCAGGGATGGATGCAACTTGGAATCAGTATAAATGTGGCAAAGAACTATTTTTTCCCCTTCCTTTCATCTGATTTTATCTTAACCATCTAGACTTTCCCTCTTTCATCATCCTTTTGGATTTAGGTATGTGGTAACCTCAAAAAGTATTCTGCATATGAGATACCTTTCACAGCGAGGTTCACCTGACAAACATTTAAATATTTTTCTAGACACCTTCTTAATTATCTAAAACATCTAGCATCAATGTGGTGCCCACGGCCTATTTTTACTGATCTCCATGCTTTGCTGCCTTGCTGTAACAGGGGAGCTATACCAATGGAAATGGGGAGAGGTGGTATTGGGGGACAAAATTCAAATTATAAGCAAGTTCAAACCACCAAATGAATGCTCTGGTATAGTCAGCCCGCTACAATCGAAGGGGTTAGAGCACAAGACCTCATGAAAGTAAAAAACAATTAATTTAAAAATGCTTTTAAAAAAAAAAAAAAAACTGAGAACACCTGTCTACGAATGTCTAGGAGCTCAACATGACTAGTCAACTTCCAATAGAAGCTGACCATAGAGTCTGACTATACTGAAAGGCCTAGAGATTCCTAGAAATAGTATTTTAATCAAATATGTGAATAATAAAATCTGCAAAAGTCAAGCCCGCAGGCTGACAATATATTTAAAAAGCAGCCATTAAAACAAGAGCTGTGCCCAGCAGATGTATCTATATATACCTCCAGGCAAAGAGTTTATTACTAAAGAGGGAAATACTATAAATTCTTAATGGGATCAAGGAAATGTAACACAATGCAATGAAACGGCTACTTACAATGAAGCAGTACTCAATGCCTTCATAGCCCTGTACAATGCTGCTTGATCCATAAGCAACAAGGCAGCACTGTAAAGAAGCTGAAGGCAGTGAGAAATATTCCAGAAGAGTATATGTTTCTTTCTCCTTTTGGCATAACAGTTAGCCAGTTAATTGTAGGGAAGCCCTACTTTTCCAAATACAGGGATTTATTCCAAACAGATGGGATGCTCCGGAGAGCAGAAGCAAAAAGTACCTGTTCCCTATGCAAATCCCCTGTAGGTCTGAGTCAAGTCATAAAAATAATTTGCTACATTAATTTATAATGTTGCTTTGGAAATGAAGCTTGGTGCATATCAGCTTAACGTGCAAGTATACAACGAGAGAACTTCAAGATAAATGGGAGAAAGAAGGACAGTTGGTTCCAGGCAGAGAGAAAGAACCTATTCGTCACCAAGGAAAAATCTGACAAGATGCATGAAGAATTCCTTGTAAACGTTACTCAATCTAGGTCAGAAAAGACACACTGAAGTCTCTGTTTCTCCCTACCAACTAAATTTACCTCATTTACAGCACACATGCGCGCTATAGATCCAATGTTATTGGTGATAGTAACCAATGTTGCTCTAGCCAGGTCCTCTTTACTAACTGATTCCCGTCTTTCCTTGTAGATCATGTTCCCAAAACTAGAGAAAGAGAGAGATTAATGTTATATGGTTTTGGAGAAAAGCATATTATTTTCATCCAATAGAGCACATGTGTCAAACTCAAGGCCCATGGGCTGAATCTGACCCTCCATGTCATTTTATGTGGCATTTCAGGTGCTGGACTATAATTCCTAAATTCGACATCATCACTAGAGCTGATGGGAGTTGTGATGCAGTAACATCTGAAAGGTTTCAGTTTGTTCTGGTCAGTCAGGATAGTGGGCTTCAGATTTATATACCAAGGGTTGTGGATATTATGTCATTTACCCTTTCCCCAACCTCAGAACCACAAGTGCTATAGGTTGCAATTCCCATTATCCCCAGTCTGAATGGCAGAAAATCACAGGTGGTGAGAGTTGTTGTCCAATAACATCTGGAGACCCAAATTGGGTAAAAATCAATAAGCACTGACCACTATGAAAAAAATACCCACAGATTCAATGGCCCTTTGAGGGCAATCTTAAGGCTGTTGTGGCCCTTGATGAAAGTAAGTTTGACACCCCTGAAGCTTTGTTCATAATAATTACAGAAACTGAAAAAAAGCATTATATGAAATTAACACAGATTTGCAAATGAGCCAAATTAGCAGGAGATTCTGCTGTCTGATTTCATTTATTATTATTACTATTATTCCCTCATTCCCCCCACTGTTGCTGTGTCTTTGGCATAACGTATAAGTTGGTTTCTGTTTTTAAAGATCAGACAATACAGCCATAAACTGAGATGGATGTTAGAAGTTGGTTCTAGTGCACTGGAGAAAGTTTTGCTACCATATTTTGAGAACTTTATGCCTAGTTAATCTTTTACAGCTCAGGTACAATTCTACTCTGGACAAAATTAACTTACAATTTTATCTTTTCCCCCCTTATCTACCATATGTTGTTTAAATCATGAAGAAGCCACCTAACCCACCTAACCCAATTGTGCATGGGGGCAATTTAATCTAGTTTAAGAGACTAGGTTAATCTCCAGATGCACATAGCTATTTTGCTTTCAAGGTCAAGCTCTGTGAAATTTGTTACAGAAAAGAATGTATGTGATGAATATTAGGCATTCAGTGAGCCTTTGTTGGCTGCTGGGGTCTGATTCCAGGATTTCCATGGGGTACCAAAATCTATGGACCCTCAAATCCCATTATATACAGTGGAATAGTAAAATGGTGTTCCTTACATAAAATGCTTACTTTTGAGATTTTTAAAAGTATGTTCCAAGCTGTGCATGGCTGAATCTGCAGAAGTGGATGGCTGACTGTACACGTGTATATTAGATCAGTCTCTTAAACTAGATACACTTCTCTTCATGAACAAGTGGGACAGGTATGTCTCTATAAAAACACTAAAGCTGTAAATCCAGAGATGGGGACTTTCTGTCACTCCAGATGTAGCTGGGACTTCATTCCCCTCATTCCTCACCATTGGTTATCCGGGCTAGGAATGACGTGAACTGTAGTCCAGAAACACATGGAAGGCCCCATGCTCCCCTTAATCAGGCTTTTTGGAAAATAAATCTAAACAGCTCCACACTTATCTTTGTAACTATACTTGTTAAGAAACATTAACATGGCATACTATAGAAATCAGTGCTAACTGATGCATAATTTGGATGTAACATACCCAAGCATTTCTATTGAAATAAATATACAGATGTGCAATATTTAAGAAATAATAGTATGTATGCCATGGCACAATGAAATACAAAGAGTTGGTTACAGTAGGAAACGCTTTGTTACAATAATTTAGTGGCAGAAGTGAGGAAAAAGAGAGAGAAGTAGACTGCTAGAATATTGGGGAAACACTATATACATCTATACCACCTTTTAAAATTCTTTATTAAATATTCCTAAAGCAAAAATATGAACCCATCTTAAAAAGGCAGTATAATATGTGTATATGATGTATAGGTATCTGCTGCTTATTCAACAGGTTTGGAAGCTAACAACTGGTAGCAGCAGAGCACTCTTAGGCTTGAATTTCAAGTTGGGTTTGTCTTATTTTGGTTGTATTTTAAGTTGGCTATATATGAGTTCTAGTTATAATTGAAAAAAGTTGGAAGAGTAAGGTAAGGTAAAGGTTGTCCCCTGACATTAAGTCCAGTCATGTCTGACTCTGGGGGTTGATGCTCATCTCCATTTCTAAGCCAAAGAGCCGGCGTTGTCCGTAGACACCTCCAAGGTCATGTGGCCAGCATAACTGCATGGAGCGCCGTTACCTTCCCGCCGGAGCAGTACCTATTGATCTACTCACATCTGCATGTTTTCAAACTGTTGGAAGAGTAAACTGTTGAAAAGTGGGTTATTGAAAAGTAGAGACACATGTAAGTATGATATGATTGTTACTTGTCAGTACTTACCTAGATGCCACTGCCCAACCTGGAAGACCAAACCGTTCATAGTCACCCCCATAAATATCCCGGACTAGCTTGTCAGCGTGGGTGCTATCCCCTTTGGATGCCATTTCCAGGGCTTCTTCAAAGCTTTCACATCCAGTCAGTAAACTGCACAAACCAAGAAAGGTCCCACCACCTAAACTGGTATGAGAAAAAGATGACTGATTTGGAAATTGTGTTTACAAAATTAAACAATATTAATGAACTAACTATGAAGTTGTTTTATCTGTCCAAATCATGTAAGAGACCCAAAAAGATCAAGTAACAACTGAAAACAATTAAAGGATTATATTTCTAGACTGGAGTTACCTAACACTAGTGAGCAGAATAAACTGCAGCTACATTTCCTCCCTTAACAGTTTTCTGAGGAAAGAAGAAGGAAATAATGGTGAGTGTGCAAGTAGAATACATCAACTGTCTCCATTTCCCCAATTAAATTCCCTAAGTCAGGGTAATTATGTTATGATGTCTCATCTGAAAGCACTTTATGTATACATCTTTATGGATGTGGTTCCTACTGACACAGCCTACATTATACTGTTTTATTTCCAGCCATAGTCTCTATCAGAAAGGTTCTTCGTGGCCTGCATTATTTTTACAGAAATGCATTAATTGCAAGCAGGCATAGCATGATTTTGTACTTCATGTGTTTTACCACATGAATTTTCTAGTACAAATCAGTAATAAAACAACCTGTAAAAGAAAATTGGGGTTACTGATTCCCACTGAGTTTAAAAACCGGAAAAAGAAACAACTACACTACAAAACAGAAAGTCAGTTCCAAACTATAATTAAGAGATAGGTACTTGAAAGAAGCCCTACGAACACGACAAAACCATTATCTTAAAATAATGGCTTAACTTGCTAGATATTCTCTTAATTACCTTGTTCCAGTGACTCTCTTATAGTTGTCTTTGGAATGGACAGCTAAAATACTGACTCCCGAACCAATATTTACAACCAACAGTGGATATGGATCATCCAAATTAAAAGGCATCTTTTGGCATCTTTCAGGTTCTGATGCATTTTCAAAATAGTAGCACTCAGCTTGGCCATTAAAACTGACAGAATCTATATACAACAAGCCTTTGACAAGGCAGTCAAGTTCATCCAGTTTGTGCAGCTGGAGATCTCCAATCTGTGAAAATGCAAAAATGAAAATTAAATACTTTATATGTTAGTATAACACATTCCATGAGCAAAACCTGGCAGATACTGAACAACTTTAGGATGGAACATGAGATATAAAATCCAACCCTTCAATCTGGCTTTAATTTGACTTCCAAAAGCATAGACTCTTTTCTTTTGAAGTGAAATTTTCTCATAAACTAATCTGAAAAGTGGCAATGACTATGCCAGAAGCTAAATAAAATAAAAATTAGGAGTTTTTTATAGCAGATGTGGAAGCTGAGACAATGGGCCACTTGATCTGTAGTCAAATCAGACTCCAGTTCGTTCCTGATGTCCAATAGCTTTCATCCAAATCATATAAAAATCAAAAACCAAATGTTTACACTGTCGGAATTGGAAACATTGCACCTTTGTTCAGAAACAATGATAATGAAAGGTTACGCCATATTATAATACATTTCTGAAGTCTCTTAAGGCAGGAACACATTTTTCCCTCAGTACCGGTACAAACTGAAGGCTCAGAGCAGTTACAAGTCCTAGATTCCCTCAGCCAGCCAGGCCTCGAAAGTTGTAGTCCAAAACTAAAACATTTTGAATTCCTGATCTAGATTCAGGAAAGGATTGGATGGGTACTATTTCCTGCTCAGAGTCATGGCAACACAAGAAAAGATTTTTCAGAAAAAGGCAAAGGTTCCACATCTGACTCTTTTGGGTGATAGCGATATCTATTGCAAACAATACTACCAGTGATATACTGTAACAGACTACAGATACTGTGTTATAGAAGATGCACCGCAACTACCTACTGTGCGAAAATCTTCTTCAAACTTATAGGCACCACCGCCAGTGGCACACAGCACCGTATGCAGTGTCGAGAAGTTTTTACTTCTTCCCATTTGAATAAAAGTAGGCAAATCGTGGGTTGGGAATCGGATAAAGTGCAAATTTCCCTTTCGGCCAAAGAGTATCAAGTCCTTGAGTTCAAGGTGAACATCTCGAATACCAGTGGACCCATAAGCTACATTGGAGGTCAGATATTTGCGAATACTCTTCAGGCTTTCAACCTCTTCCTGCTCTTCTTCTGCAGTAATATCAATAGGTTCGAAATATGCAAGTTTCACTAGGGTTCCCCCAATGTCCATGCCAAACCAGGGGAAAGCTGGTGAGAAAGAAAATTGCCATTAGAAGAATCATTTACATATGAAAATACAGAGTCAGTACTGTCACACTGACCAATATATTATTACTTCCTTAAACTATGTTGAAATGGTTACAAATACTGCATAATGTTAAACATTTTATAACAAATGTGGAAAAGCTCAATATTAATATACATCCCCATTTGTTAGCAGGCACAAAGGGGCATTTGCTCACAACTTTACTACAGGTAAACAGAAGCAACCCTGCATCCCTTTTAAAGATGGGCCGCCTTGGCAAGAACATTCTTTAAAATTTGAGAAAAGAAGAAAAAACTCTTCTAAGAAGAGCATCATACCTGAGTTTAAATGCTTGGTTGTTCTATCAAGGAAGATATTAGCAAACACCCAAAAAGCTCTTAAGTGGAAGCTACAGAAGCTGAATTCTTGCTGATTCCATACCACTGACATAAAAGAAAAAAGCAACCCCCTGATGAAACACAACACTGCACTCCCTCCTACAATTTCAGTCTTGTGGTGTACATTGATGAGTCCTCTGAGGCATGTCAGATTAAGAGTAAGCTAATTAGACTGAAAAAATATTTCATTACTTCAGTTTTAACAGTCCTTAGGGGAAAATGCAGAAGTATGCCATTTAATTCCTGTCCCTATAGAATGAATTTGTAAATCAAGGGTGGGGAATAAATGGTCCTCTAGATGTTGAACTATAATTCTCATCAATCTAGCCAGCATAGTGATGGACAATGGGAGTTATAGCCCAACATCACCTGGAGGACAATTTTTTCTCAATTCCTGCTGGAAGTGACCACATATTCTAGGTCAACCTGTACACGTTATTGCATGACTTGCAATTGTAAAGTTGTAATCTCTGTTCCCATCGAATGCTAGAATGCAATCCTCTTGTTTATAACTCTTCAGAATTAAGCAATAAATCTATTTGAGTGCATCCAGTAAACTCTGACCCTTGTCGATTTATGCCAACAAGACAGCAATAGCTAGTAGATGAACACATGTATTGACCTAAAGTTAGGTATTAATTCTACAAGAGAGAAAAAGCTTAGTGTTTGTAGAAGTTAGCAGGCACTTCTGGAGAGAGCCAGCTGGGCTCATTTCACAATATTATGGAACTAGAATGCCTCTTCAAATATGCCAAATTCTCTGTAAGGATTTTTTTCTCCTGTGGAAACACAATCCGACTGAAATAGTTTTCACACAGAAGTTTCTTCTGAAATCTTCTCTTCCCAGACCAAGTCTGCTTTATATATATTTTTAATTTAGAAAGGAGCCTTGAGGTTGAACATCCCCAGTTAGTAAGTAGGCCACAGACTGAACAGACACAAAGCTTATGTAGTGATAAATATTCCCCCATTATGGTGAAAAGTGCTGTATCTCTATTAACATTTTAGTGATCTCTAAACTGGCACCTGCACAACTACCATGTACACATTTTATGTAAAACTGTTCCCTCTTTTATGGTAATGCATATGTTGGTTTAAGTCTTCTCCAATGTTTTGAGTTATACTTCTCTTAATTTCTAACCTCTGGCCATGCTATGCTGGAGGCTTGAAAGGGAGAATTCTGCTTGTTCGTATTTGAACTGATTATTTTCTACCAGCAGTTAGACAGGTACGGCAGCAAATGTTTTAGGCACTGAAATATTTTGACTGTGAAGTGTACTTTCCAGGAGGGCAAGGCTTAGTTTCACCAGAGCTGTATTCACAGGAATGTGCTGTAATCTGGTAACCTGAAGAATGCCATACACATGAGGTGGTCATTCATAAATATGTATACAAAGAGAATAGTTGACAAATGCTAAGTGGCAGCATGTCTTTGAGACAAGATCTAACACAAATCTAGGTAACTTTTACAAACTTTATTCACATTTTCTATGTAACAGAGAAGACCACTTCACACTGTATTGTCGAAGACTTCACATTATTGCGTTTGGGTATAACCATAGCAAACACTTATTAAGGAACTAAACCAACTGAATTTAACCAGACATAATAGAATTATGTTGTTTGGGCATATGTGTTTGAAAAACAAATTCTAAAAAACTGTATGGGATCTTTTCAAAAAGCAAAATGAAATGATTTGTTCTTATTCTGACAGAAACTTTTGATTATACTAATGTAATTTTTGAGGGGTAAAACTCAAAAAGCAAGAAGGCTTTATTTATATACTTCACTAAAACTAGCTGATATTCACATGTGAACATGAATGATAGTATATATTTTGGGTTTTATCTTGGTTTAGCGTTTATATGATTTTAACTGTTTCCCGATATTTATGATTTTATGGGTTGTTTTAACTTTTATACTGGTTTTTTTTTGTTCTGTTGTAACCGCCTTGGATCTGTGCTCAGAAAAAGGATATATATTTCTCAAATAAATAAATATCAATACATATTGCTTGCATGCTGTCTGTCGGTTGTAGTAGAATAACAGAAAAGAGTGACAGCAGATTTTGCTTTGTGGAACACTGTAAAGCCATCTCTCACCTTTTCAAAACTTCCATCTTAAACTACTGAAAATATATTCTGGACATTTAATTGAAAAGTAACATTTATACAAGCAGTACATTTTGCAAATGACTGCATGAAAATTGCATTAGCCAGTTGGGGAGAAAACAAAGAAGAGATTTTTATGTGACGAAACATGGAACTACGTTTAGTCAGAAAACCAACTCCTGTTGAGACACCTGATGTGATATTCTCATTCTAGCATATTGTTCCATTAAAATTTCAAAGTCTTGTGACTATTTTCACTCCAGGGCCAAATGGAGAGAAGTATATGCCACATATATGTATGTGTTTTGCAAAGTTATTTCTCATTTGTGATAATATTTTTTACAGTAGCCAATCCCCTGAATTTGGGGACTGAATGGAAGTATACTTTATTTTGATAATTTATTTGAGAAAAGTTTAATTTCCTTCCAAGAATGCAAGTGAGCAAGCTTATGAGGTTAAATGCCAGTAGCGATGTCTCCTACATACTGTACAGCTATTACATAGATCAAGCCCTCCAGGTGTTTTGGACTTCAGCTCCCTGAATTCCTGACCACTGGACAGGTTGGCATGGGCTTCTGGGAACTGGAGGCCAAAACACCTAGAAAGCCACAGGTTGGTTGTGCAGGCTTGACATAGACAAATATGTTTTACCTTATTACTAACTGAAGACCAACTTAGTCTCAGTTTTCATTGTGAAGTCATTGAGAAAATTTCATATTATCATTTTCTAAGGGTCAACATGAAGCCCCTAGAGCCTAGATGTACAATTCAAACTTCTTCCAACTTCCACAATCTTACTCTGACATATAATCATATGCCAAAGTCACTGAGGGGGTGATAAAACCACTCTGTTGCAATTTACACTTTATAGAATTTTTTAAAGGGAAGAATGTGGAAATATCTTTACAGTTGCATATTTTTATGATTGCAAACACATTTACTCCAGTGGAAGCTGCTTTCCAACATTTTTGCTCTACCCATACAGAGATAAGCATCAAAATACATGAATGAACACATTAGAAAAAGAAATGCCCGCAGGCACTGAACATGACACAATTTATTTTCATATTTGTGAGACTGAAATCTTTTCTGCTCAATGTTTAAAGTGGTACTGACAAACTAAACAGTAACACTTATTGTCATCCTATGTTTCTTGAGAACAAAGAATTTCTTCCCCCTCAGGCAAGACCTATAACTCACATTCCAAGCATATAATTCAGTCAATTGCAAAATCTGCTGGGTGCAAAGGAAAGCAATCAAATGAGCATGTTTAAAGCCCCAATTCCCTGCTTTATAAACAAGTGGAAGCTATCAAGCAATTGTTGATCAAGCAAAGCAAATGGGAAAACTGGGTGGTGGCAACATTTATTCATTCAAAACACTTTTATGATATTTATCACCTGCCAAGGTACTTAAAAAGAACAACAATGTGGAGGTCAACAAGTTGAGCATCCCCTAGCTGGAATTCCAAAATGCTTCAAAATCAACCATCACCTATCTGGGTGGCTGAGATGGAAAGCAAATGTGTCATTGATGGTTCAATATACACAAAGCTTGTCTCATTCAAATTTTTAAAAATATATTGTGCATTAAATTACCCTCAGATTATGTATAAATCAATATCATGTTTAAACCTGGATCCCATCAAGAAATCTCATTAAATTATCATAGAGCTGGAAGAGACCACAAGGGACATCCAACCCAACCCCTTTTATTCATTTATTTATGTATGGCATTTATATGCCGCCCTTCTCACCCCGAAGGGGATTCAGAGCGGCTTACAATATATATTTTCATACAGTATATTATATTATTAGCATAGTACAATATCAGTATTATATATGACTATATTGCACTATACCATTATAATGTAATATTATTAGTAATATTACATGTAATGTAAATATATTTCTGCTCTGCAGGAAGACACATGCCATGATGTTTATGTAGATATTCCAATATCCCAAGCCCTTCTGATCCCAAGCATTTTGGGACCAGAAGAAAAGGAATCTAAAGGATTGAGATAGGAAGAATGATAGGAGGGGGAAAAGAAAGATAGGGTGCATCTACACCGGGTATGGGCAAACTTCAGCCCTCCAGGTGTTTTGGACTTCAACTCCCACAATTCCTTAGGAATTTGTTTATTTACCATATTTGTACCCCACCTTTCTCAACTCAGAGGGCTCTGAGTGGCTTATAACTGTAACTCCCAGGATTATTTATTTCCCACTTTTATTTATGTATTTATTTATTTATGTGGGCATTTCTGCATCACCTTTCTCCAAGGATTTAAGGCAGTTTACAACATTAGATAAGCTTGTTTTCTGCTGCCCTGGAGAGTAGGACGTGGAACAAAGAGATTCCATCTGAACATTAGGAAGAACTTCCCGACTGCGAGAGCTGTTCAGCAATGGAACTCTCTGCTCCGGAGTGTGGTGGAGGCTCCTTCTTTGGAGGCTCTTAAGCAGAGGCTGGATGGCCATCTGTCAGGGGTGCTTTGAATGCGATTTTCCTGCTTCTTGGCAGGGGATTGGACTGGATGGCCCATGAGGTCTCTTCCAACTCTATGATTCTATAAAGCACAACACTATAAATAACCCATTAAAATAATCCTAATTCAGTCCTTATCGGACATAAAATTATAAAATAATGATTAAAAGCGCTCTAAAATGCCCGGGAAGGTAAAATATAATTACAAAGTGCAGGTCCTAGGCTTCTGTCACCTTATTTAAAAGTTATTCCACATAGGAAAGTTTTCAAGTTTTTCTCCCATGGGTAGGATTGAAAGCGGCGTAGAGTGTTAAAAGCAACAGAAATTACTAACATAAAATTCAACAAAAAACATCATAAACTAAATAAACAAATTGCACACTTTGTAAGGATAAAACAACATTTGAGGCATGGCGATTAAAGGTGGTTCCAAATGGCATTTTTTCTACACACCATGTAGATGCAACCCATGGCTCGATGCTAGGGAGCCCTGGGAGTTTCAGTTCAATGAGCCACAGCTCACTGAGAAGGTGAACCAAGAAGTCTGATCTAGCAACAGTGGTCCATGCTCTTGTTACATCCCCGAATAGATTACTGCAACGCACTCTACGTGGGGCTCCCTTTGAAGACTGTTCGGAAACTTCAACTAGTCCAAGGGCTGCAGCCAGATTACTAACTGGAGCGACATATAGGGAGCACACCACCCCCTTGTGTCAGCTCCACTGGCTGCCAATTCACTTCCGAACTCAATTCAAAGTGCTGGTTTTGACCTATAAAGCTCTATACGGTTCTGGCCCAACTTACTTACCTGAACGCATCTCCCTCTACGTCCCGCCTCACAGTTTAAGATCATCCGGAGAGGCCCTGCTCTCACTCCCACCAGTGTTGCAAATATGTTTAGCGGGGACGAGAGACAGGGCCTTCTCAGCTGTAGCCCCCCATCTGTGGAACTCGCTTCCCAACAAGGTAAGATCGGCTTCATCCCTCCTGTTTTTTAGGAAGAAATTGAAGTCGTGGCAAACTCTACACAAATATTCCATATGTCCAAATGTGAACACTGGTGGAGTTGGGGGGAAATTGAATCTTGACATTTGGGAGTTGTAGTTGCTGGGATATGTAGTTCACCTACAATCACAGAGCATTCTGAACCCCACCAACAATAGAATTGGGCCAAACCTCCCACACAGAAGCCCCACGTGGGCCACAGCAACCCATGGCAGGGGGCGGCTAGTCTATATAAATAAAAATGTAATGTTCGCTTGTGGGATTAACAGAACTCAAAAACCACTGGACGAATTGACACCAAATTTGGACGTAAGACACCTAACAACACAATGTATGTCCTTCACTCAAAAAAATGATTTTGTCATTTAGGAGTTGTAGTTGTTGGGATTTATGGTTCACCTACAATCAAAGAGCATTCTGAACCCCACCAACGATGGAATTGAACTGAACTTGCCACACAGTTCTCCCATGACCAACAGAAAATCCTGGAAGGGTTTGGTGGGCAGTGGTTTTAGAGTTGTAGTTCACCTACATAATAGTAATAATAATAAACCTTTATTTATACCCCACTACCATCTCCCGCAGGACTCGGTGCGGCTTACAAGAGGCCGAGCCCAAATACATCATAATACATAACAACAATACAACAATAAATAACTCATAACAAAGCAAAACAATAATGACACGACGCATTTAAAAACCTGTGGCAGGGTCAAATGTAAGGACTAAAATTTAAAATGCTGGGCATGTCCAAGGGAAATAGGATGGATATTTTAGAGATAGGTGGGCGTGCAGACAGTTCTAAATCTCTCGTAAAGTGCATTTGGGACATATTGCTTGGGAGTCTTATTCTGGGAAGGCACACTGGAACATCCACGTCTTCAAGCTCCTTCTAAAGACTGCCAATGTTGGGGCCTGCCTGATGTCCTTGGGGAGGGAGTTCCAGAGTCGTGGGGCCACCACCAAAAAGGCCCTGTCCCTCGTTCCTACCAATCGCGCTTGCGATGCAGGTGGGATCATGAGTAGGGCCTCTCCAGATGAACGAAGAGATCATGTGGGTTCGTATACAGAAATGCAGTCACGCAGGTAGATGGGTCCCAAACCGTTTAGGGCTTTGTAGGTAAGCACCTGCACCTTTAATTGGGCCTGAAAATGAACGGCAGCCAATGGAACTCCTTAAACAGGAGGGTTGACCTCTCCCTGTAAGGAGCACCAGTTAACAGCCTGGCTGCCACATGTTGAACCAACTGAAATTTCCGGGCCGTTCCAAGGGCAGCCCCACGTAGAGTGCATTACAGTAGTCCAGAGAACAATGATGGATCTGGACCAAACTCTACACCAGGCATGGGCAAACTTTGGCCCTCCAGGTGTTTTGGACTCCAACTCCCACAATTCCTAACAGCCTACCGGCTGTTAGGAATTGTGGGAGTTGAAGTCCAAAACACCTGGAGGGCCAAAGTTTGCCCACGCCTGCTCTACACGAATATTCAATATGCCCAAATTTGAACACTGATGGAGTTTGGGGGAAACAGAATCTTGACATTTGGGAGTTGTAGTTGCTGGGATTTGTAGTTCACCTACAATCACAGAGCATTCTGAACCCCACCAATGATAGAATTGGGCCAAACCTCCCACACAGAACCCCATGACCACCAGAGTGGGCCACAGCATTTTGATAATCTATATAAATAAAAATGTAATGTTCGTTTGTGGTATTAACAGAACTCAAAAACCACTGAATTGACACCAAATTTGGACACGACACCTAACAACCCAATGTATGTCCTTCACTCAAAAAATTGATTTTGTCATTTGGGAGTTGTAATTGCTGGGATTTATAGTTCACCTATAATCAAAGAGCATTCTGAACAATTAAGGAAAAAAACAGAAAAGGGATTTATAGTTCACCTACAATCAAAGAGCACTCCGAACCCCACCAACGATGGAATTGAACCAAACTTGGCACACAGTTCTCCCATGACCAACAGAAAATGAAGGGTTTGGTGGGCAGTGTCCTTTGGTTTCGGAGTTGTAGTTCACCTAAATCCAGAGAGCAATGATGGATCTGAACCAAACTCTACACGAATACTCAATATGCCCAAATGTGAACACTGGTGGAGTTTGGGGAAAACAGAATCTTGACATTTGGGAGTTGTAGTTGCTGGGATTTGTAGTTCACCCACAGAGCATTCTGAACCCCACCAACAATAGAATTGGGCCAAACCTCCCACACAGAACCCACATGACCACCAGAGTGGGCCACAGCAACGCATGGCAGGGGACGGCTAGTACTGGAAATAAATAAATAAATAAACCTTCCAAGACTACAACTCCCAGAGGATTCCATAGCATTGGGGGAAAGCGGAGTCGAAGTGTATGAAGAGCTGGCGGAGGCTACTTACAAGGTTTCTTGGCATCTTTGATCTTCATGTCTCCACACAGCCGTGGTCTCTTAGGAGGCAACGTTTGGGCCTTGATGGTGTCCTGGAAGAGGAGGAGGAAGGTGGAGAAGAGGATGGAGGAGAGAAGAAGAGGCGGCGCTACAACTTCCTCAGAGAGAAAGCGGCCTTGGCGATGGAGAAGGCCTTGACGCCTCTCCTGGCCCTTCTCCTCACAGCCTCTGCTCAAGGCCGACAGAAAGCAATGAGGAAAAGGGAAGGAAGGAAGGCAAGAAGGCGGAGACCGGCCGTGGAGGCGGCCCCACCCACACACGGCACCGCCCGCCTGCTTGCCACCTCCTTTCTCCTCCTCCTTTTCTCCTCAGCGCCGCCAACCAAGTAGGCCTCAACCGGGGCCTCAATTGGGCCCCTCCGCTGCCTCCCCTTCTCCTTCTTGGTGGTTCCAAAAGCCCCCCTTCAGGCTGACAGGCAAGCACGGGACTCGTGCAGTGGCAGATGGGAATGAAGGGAGGAGGAAGGAAGGAACCGGCGAGCGCTTCCTTCAGACTCGGAGTACTACAACCCCCAGAGCGCCTTGCGAGGCTGCCACGGCTTCGCAGCCATTCTCTGCCTGAAAAGCATGCCGGGAGGCTCTGTAGTTCGCGGCCGGGGGAGAGACGCCATTTTGATTTCTCAGCTCAGCTCGCGGCGCCGAATAAGCCCCGCCCACTCCTCCCCCTCTCTGGGAAAACCACGCCAGTCACCCGAGAGAGAGCTGGCCAATAGGAAGCCAGGGCTCGCCCCCCTCCCCCCGCCTCTGAGGTGGCTTCTCACTGGAATTTCCTAAGCTAGGCCTAGACAAACTTGGGCCTTCCAGATGTTTTGGACTCTAACTCCCACTATTCCTAACAGCCTCAGGCCCTTTCCTTATACATATATTTGGCTGGAGTTACACTTAAAATGCATTTGTTCCAACTTACAAAGCTCTCCAAAGCTCTAGGTGCTCTTACTGCCTATTACAGGGAAAACCAACTGATCCCTAACCCATCTAAAACACAGACATGCGCCTTTCACCTTAAGAACAGACAAGCATCCCGAGCTCTGAGGATTACCTGGGAAGGAATCCCACTGGAGCATTGCAACACACCCAAATACCTGGGAGTCGCTTTGGACTGTGCTCTGACCTACAAGAAGCACTGCCTGAACATCAAGCAAAAAGTGGGTGCTAGAAACAACATCATACGAAAGGTGACTGGCACAACCTGGGGATCACAACCAGACACAGTGAAGACATCAGCCCTTGCGCTATGCTATTCTGCTGCTGAGTATGCATGCCCAGTGTGGAACACATCTCACCACACTAAAACAGTAGATGTGGCTCTTAATGAGACATGCCGCATTATCACAGGGTGTCTGCGCCCCACACCACTAGAGAAATTACACTGCTTAGCCGGCATTGCACCACCTGACATCCGCCGGGAAGTAGCAGCTAATAGTGAAAGGACCAAGGCAGAGACATCTCCAGCTCATCCCGTTTGGGTATCAGCCAGCACGTCAACGACTTAAATCTAGAAATAGTTTTCTTAGATCTACAGAGACACTCGCTGGAACACCCCAGCAAGCGCGAGTCCAAAAGTGGCAGGCTCAAACCCAGCTCCTCAATCCGTGGTTGATACCAGATGAGAGACTAACAGCCTGGGCACACAGAAGACTGGCTGAACAGACTGCGCTCTGGCACCACGAGATGCAGAGCCAACCTTCAAAAATGGGGCTACAAAGTGAATTCCACAACATGCCAGTGTGGAGAAGAGCAAACCACTGACCACCTGCTGCAATGCACCCTGAGCCCTGCCACATGCACAATGGAGGACCTTCTTGCGGCAACACCAGAGGCACTCCAAGTGGCCAGATACTGGTCAAAGGACATTTAACCAACTACCAAGTTTGCAAAATCTGTGTTTTTTTTTCTTTTCTTTTTAATCTGTGTATTTGTTTTGCTCTGTTAGAATTGTAATACAATGGTATGGTTGCTGATGACACGATAAATAAATAAAATAAATAACTTACAGATAAACTCAAATTAAGAACAAACCTACAGAACCTATCTCGTTTGTAACTTGGGTACTGCCTATATTGTGCAATACTTGCAGTTATAATACAGTACTCATACACTACTTGAGCTTATAATGTAATAACTATTCTAGAATTATTATTTTGTTGTTCATTCATTCAGTCGTTTCCGACTCTTCGTGACCTCACGGACCAGCACACGCCAGAGCTCCCTGTTGGCCATCACCACCCCCAGCTCCTTCAGAGTAAATCCAGTCACTTCAAGGATGCCATCCATCCATCTTGCCCTTAGTCGGCACTTCTTCCTTTTTCCTTCCATTTTCCCCAGCATAATTGTCTTCTTTGCCTTACAAGGCCCTATGAAATGAACGAGATCCCCAGGGATTGACAGGTGACTTGAACACAAATAGATACACACACAAGTTCTCTTTCACATAACACTTTGACGCCACCTTAATAGCCACGGAGACCTGGAATTTGTAGTTTGATTGGGAGTTCTCTGACAGATATCTCGGAATACTTTGAGAAACTGCAAATCCCAAGGGTCCATAAGAGAGAATCCTTCAATTCAACAGGTAGCCAAGTGCTACATGACTGGATAGCTTGACTGAGACCCCTTCTACACTGCCATATAAAATCCAGATAATCTACTTTGAACTGGATTATATGGCAGTGCAGGCGCAGGTTCGCAGCTTGGGAGTTCTCTTGGACTCATCACTGAGTCTGAAATCTCAGGTTGCAGCGATGGCTAGGGGGACTTTTGCACAATTAAAACTTGTGCACCAGCTGCGCCCATACCTTGGGAAGTCAGACTTGGCCACGGAGGTCCACGTGCTCGGTACATCCAGGATAGACTACTGCAACGCGCGCTACGTGGTGTTGCCTTTGAAGACGTTTCGGAAGCTTCAAATAGTCCAACGAGAGGAAGCCAGGTTAATAACTGGGAAGGCATACAGGGAGCACACAACTTCCATGTTACGTCAGCTCCACTGGCTGCCTGTTTGCTACCAGGCACAACTGAGTGCTGGCTTTGGCCTATAAAGCCCTAAATGGCCCTGGCCCAGTTTACCTGTCTGAATGCATCTCCCTTTACGAACCACCATGAAGACTAAGAACTTCTGGGGAGGTACTGCTCTTGTTCCCGCCACTGTCACAGGCATGTTTGTCGGGGACGAGAGACGGCCTTCTCAGTGATTGTCCCGAGTCATGGAACTCCCTTCCTAGCAATATTCGATCAGCCCCCTCCCTCTTGTCCTTCAGAAGGATGGTGAAGACCTGGCTGTGGGACCAAGCCTTTGGGGCAGTGCAATGATGCACTGAGATGGTTTTTAAGCAACTGATTTTAAAGTGGATATAATTGATTTTTATGTTTAGGTATATTTATGATTTTATGTCCCAGCATCGAATGTTTGCCGTGTATATGTTGTGTGGAATATAAATGTTTTAAATAAATAAATATAAACCAATGTGGATTATCATCTTTGGTAATCTGGATTGTATGGCAGTGTAGAAGGGGGCTGCAAGTATCTACACTATAATGTTATATATATTTCATCACAAGATATTTGTTTTGAAAGCTGCTAAATCATACATTGGCAGAGTATCCAAATTGAGATTTTCTGACCAAGTTGCACTTATTGCCATTGTTGTTCATTCGTTCAGTCGTCTCCAACTCTTCGTGACCTCATGGACCAGCCCACGCCAGAGCTCCCTGTCGGCCGTCACCACCCCCAGCTCCTTCGAGGTCAGTCCAGTCACTTCAAGGATGCCATCCATCCATCTTGCCCTTGGTCGGGCCCCTCTTCCTTTTACCTTCCACTTTCCCCAGCATAATTGTCTTCTCTAGGCTTTCCTGTCTCCTCATGATGTGGCCAAAGTACTTCAGCTTTGTCTCTAGTATCCTTCCCTCCAATGAGCAGGGAAGGGGTGTGGGAGGGTGTAGTTTTGGTGAGGCTCTGGCTCTATTTGGCAAAGAAGGCTAAGGGCCCTCTAAAACTACAACTCCCGTGGCCCCAAAGCACTGACCCATAGCAGCTAAATGATAAACTGTGTTAATCCTACAGTGGAGATTCAACATGAGACCTTAATGAGATTAGAATTATTTATTATGATTGTAATCTTAATAGCTATAGAAAGAGGAAAATGTTCCTCTCAACCAACTGTGTAATGACATCACTGGGAAAGGGGGCAAAAGAACCTTCCCTGCTGAGACGAGGCCATTTTCAGAGTTAGACTGGCGTCACGTGATACGAAGGGGTGGGCGACGCTGCACGTTCTTTGAGTGCGCGCGCGCGCACACACCGCCTCGCCCTCCCATTGGCTGTTCGGTGCGCTGCCCTGGCAACCGGGTCGAAAGGCAGCAACCCTACGCGCAGCTAGGTAGATTATCCTGTGACGTCATCTCCCCGCGTCGAATAAATTAACAGAGGGTCGCTCGTAGAGGAATCACTCCTCCATTTTGGTTTGAGAGAGCGGCCTTCCTTTTTCCATCTTCTCGCAACCAGGCCTCATTCACTCTTCTATATAAAATGCAGATCATTTGCTTTTTACTGGATTATGTGGCAGTGTAGACTAATAGTCTGTATAAAATCCATACTTAAGTGGATTATATGTCAGTTTGGACTCAGATAACTCAGTTCAAAGCAGCTATTGTGGATTATGTGCCATGATATTCTGAATTACCGGTATATGCCTGTGTGGAAGGGCCTTCATATAATCCAGTTCAGAGCAATGTGGATTACCTGTTCTTGTCAGTCTTGACCAATATTGAACGCAAGTATCTTGCAAATTGTTGGTGAGGAGTATAAACAAAAATGATTGCTATTTAAAGCCTCTTCTACACAGCCATATAACCCAGAGGATCAAGGCAGAAAATCCCACAATATCTGCTGGGCTATCTGAGTCCACACTGCCATATATTAAAGTTCAAATCAGATAATTTGGGATTTTATCCAGTTGTGTGGAAGAGGCCAAAGAAGTTCTTCGTAATCCTTGAGGCCACTTCTATACTGTCATATAATCCAGATTATCAAACAAGATAATCCATGTTATCTGATTTAAACTGGATTATATGAGTCTACACTGCTGTATAATCCAGTTCAATCAGATAATATGAGCCCTGGTGGTGCAGTGGGTTAAACCCCTGTGCTGGCAGGACTGAAGACCGACAGGTCGCAGGTTCGAATCCGGGGAGAGGCGGATGAGTTCCCTCTATCAGCTCCAGCTCCTCATGCGGGGACTTGAGAGAAGCCTCCCACAAGGATGATAAAACATCAGATCACCCGGGCGTCTGCTGGCCAACGTCCTTGCAAACGGCCAATTCTATCACACCAGAAGCGACTTGCAGTTTCTCAAGTCACTCCTGACTTGACAAAAAAAAAATCAGATAATATGGGTTTTATATAGAAGTGTAGAGGGGGGCTGAGGCCCTTTCCACATAGTTTTATAAAATCCACATCAAACTGGATAATATGGCAGTGTGGACTCCAACAATCTAGTTTGAAAAATATTATGGATTCTCTGCTTTGATATTCCGGGTTATATGGCTGTGCGGAACGGCCCTGAGACAGACCCCACAAATCTAAAGATTCAGTAATAAAGAAATGATATTTTGATTGGATTGTGGCAAGGGATGAATGTAGTCCTTTATGGCATTTACTAACTTGTTAGGACTGATCCATACAACCCATATAAAAGATTCATACATAACAGTGTGTCAAGCATAATGCGTGAATGACCATAGCCAGTCACTTTCTTTTTTCCTTACACTGTGTTTTAGGAAGAAGGGCCTTCAGGCAAATGCAAGTTGCAAACAAGTTAGGTTCTGTAGGCTTGTCTTAATTTGAATTTATTTGTAAGTCGGAACAAGTACATTTTTAAGTGTAACTCCAGCGAAATATATTTATATATTAGCTTTTTAAAATAATAATTGGATTCTTTAAAAAATGGCTTGTTATGGAAACAAGGACTGGCGAGAAAACTTCAGATAAGACACCTTTTCCCCAAGATAATTCTTCCAGGAATGAATTTCCTTTCCTAGGGATAAATTTCTCTCACTTCTTGATGCCTCATCCCCATTCTTAACTAGGAGTCATTTGCAAGTCAGATGTTTGTAACTTGGGAACTGCCTCTTTTAAAGACCCAGCTACATCTATGGAGCCCCCGTGGTGCAGTGAGTTAAACCGCTGAGCTGGTGAACTTGCTGACTGAAAGGTTGGCGGTTCGAATCAGGGGAGGAGGATGAGCTCCCAACCTAGCAGATTCTGCCAACCTAGCAGTTTGAAAACATGCACATGTGAGTAGATCAATAGATATCACTCCAATGGGAAGGTAACGGCGCTCCATACAGTCATGCCGGCCACATGACCTTGGAGGTGTCTACAGACAACGCTGGCTCTTCGGCTTCAAAATGGAGATGAGCACCCAGACTGGACTTAATGCCAGGGGAAAACCTTTACCTTTACCTACTACTATCTTTCCTGTCAGGCCCCAAACATATCTTCCAGTATTCAAGAGGGGGGCAACCTCCAGATACTTAGGATTGCAATCTCATCAGATCTAGCTGCCGTGGTTGATCACAAGGGATTATCAGTATGTCAAGGGATCTTGTTAATGCCTTAGAGGCTGAGAGAACAAAGTTGCTAGCATAAGCTTTCATCTCCAAGGAAGTAAACTTCATCTGTGAAAGTTTATGCTACCAATTTCATTTTCTCATTGTCTAAGGTGTTGCAAGATCCCCTTTCACACTGATATTCCATACTAACATGGCCATGCCTTTGAATAAGGGATGATATACTGCAAAACATCAGAAAGGCACCACTATGTCCTCAAATCAGAACTAGTGCAATCTGCATTTGTGATTCACAAGGAACAAAAATTGGATTATAATATGTATTTTGAAATTAGGCCTTTCAGCAAATACATTTAGCGTTCTATTTCTTTGTAGGACATAATGTATTTATTTTAAGATTCATTTAATTGTTCTTCACTTAAACATTTTTGGAGTCAATGAACATACTAAGTTATTACAAATACTAGAATGAAATTTGCTGTACCCATCCAGGGCATTCTGCATTTCAAGTGTGAAAGCTGGCTTGATGTCACAGTCCTCTTATATTTGAAGCAGTTGTTTCTGAAGCAGAAAATAGTTGTACTATATCTTTTCTCAATGTAGACCAGGAGTCTTCAAACTTTTTAAGCCAAGGGCTGGTTAATGGTCCCGCAGACTACTGGGGGTGGACGTGGGGGGTGGACTATAGTTTAAAAAAAACATGAACAAATTCCTATGCACACTGCACATATCCTAGTTGTAGCGCAAAAAACCAATGGAAGAACAATACAATATTTACAATGAAGAACAAATTTCACCAACATAAACTTATCAGTATTTCTGTGTGAAGTGTGACCCTACTTTTGGCTGATGAGATAGTCAAGATAATTAGCACTGTTGTTGTTGTCTGCCTTCAAGTTGTTTCAGACTTAGGGCAACCCTAAGTCTAAAGTTTAGGATGGGGGGCAGGTAAATGGCCTTGGAGGGCTGCATCCAGCCCATGGGCCTTAGTTTGAAGACCCCTGATCTAGACACCATACTCCTATTGATGCAGCCTAGAATTGCATTGGCTTTTTCAGCAATCACATCACACTCTTGACTCATGTTCAGCATATGGTCTACTAAGACTCCTAATCCCTTTCACATGGACTGTTTTCAAGCCAGCTTCAGGGAACTGTAGTAAAATAAGAGAGAGAGAGAAATAACCTTTGATTATACATTACTATTATTTAAAGATCACCTAACTTTTCCTCATAATTTTAACCTCACTAGTGTTGTTGTAACCTTTCAAATGACTTGGGTAATGCAATTGCAAGCAGCATTTCTTCTTTTAAGCATAATATCTTTATATCCCCACTGCATTTTATACTCTAAATAATTTTCCTACATGTCACAAGTAATATATAACACCCCAGGGGGAGAAAGAAGTTTCAAGTCATAGTTTACATGTTCCCCAGAGCACTCTATTTATTTATTTACTTTAAAGAACAACATCTAACATATGCAATCCCAAATACTCTTTTCCTAGAAGCAAGTCCCTCTCTGACATCATGGGACTTACTTCTGTGTGAATCTGCACAGAGTTGCACTGCACTGCGAAATGTCTACTGAGCATACGTTCTGTGCATACTTTGGGAATGCAACTTTTTTTGGTGTTCAGAATAAAAGATCAACAACAACAACATTGGTTTCTTATATTGGAAGTAGAAAACTATCAATTACATTTTCTGAGGAAAAAAAGAACACAGCAGGCAAAAAGAGTACCTAATTAAAACTACAGGCATATTTCGGTTAACAAAGCCTCTGACAAAGAAGCTTATTTTTACAATGAGTTTTATTCCCTCAGGCCCTGCTTTTTCTCTAACTGGAAGTTTTGATAGCAGCATCTACACTGGGAGGATGGTAACGGAAGACGGAGAAACACAGGCTTTCTGTGTCACTTTGCAACAAACCATGCAATACTGAATTCCTAAGACGGATTCTGCTCTAGTCATGGAATCAAAGAGTTAGAAGAAACCACAAAGGCCATCTAATCCAACCCCCTTCCATGCAGAAACATAGAATCAAAGCACCTCCAATAGATGGCCATCCAGCCTCTGCTTAACTGTTGCTGTATGTGCATGCCTACAACAGGTAAAGTAAACAACTGCCCCAAGAACCCCTTGTTAGCATGGATGAACAGCAAAATAAAGACAATGAGAATACATACGTTGTCTCACCAGGTTCCATCAACACATTAAAGAAGCAGATCTGTAAATGTGGACACCAGAATGGAATAAAAGTGGAGGCAGCTGAATATTTAAAATCATACTTCAGTACATTTGGATGGTGCTTTCAAATGGTCTTCGCTTCTGCAAGAATGACCTGATCTGGTTTCTCCTGTCCGTGCTGTAAATTTGAATGAAAGCTTCTCTGAAACACATTAAACTATTACCCCTAATCTGAAAAGGGAACTTCTCTGAAGGTCTGGAACCAAACCAACGTATTTCTAATTTACATCCGTTTCTTAACCACATCCCTGCCACTTGGGACCATTCCAAAATTTTCTATAAGCTCCACTAAAAAAAGGAGGGGTATTAGGGGGAAATTACATTGCAATTTTAAAGCTCTGCTGATGTCACATAAGCTTACAATACATGCTTGAAACCCCGTATGTTCTCAGGCAGTGTCGAACAAAACCTTTTAATAGCGATTCCTCTTCTTGGCTGCTTCTGAGAGTACAGTGGGCTATTACAATAGATTGGAGGGGTTGGAGTTTGAATAGGCCAACCTGTCTAACAGTAAGTTAGACCAGTAGTGTCTAACTAGTAGTGTCTACTATTTATTCTAGTAGTGTCTACTATGAATGGCAGGAGCATTCCAGGACAACAGCCTTTCCTGTCTTTACTGAGATCTTCTAATCTCTACATAGAATCATAGAGTTGGAATAGACCACATGGGTCATCCAGTCCATCCCCCTGCCATGGAGGAAAAGCACAATTAAAGTATCCCTGACAGATGACCATCCAACCTCTGATTAAAAGCTTCCAAGGAAGGAGTTTCCACCACACTCCAAGGCAGAGAGTTCCACTGCTGAATAGCTCTTACAGTCAGGAAGTTCTTTCTAATGTTCAGGTAACATCTTCTTTCCTATAATTTGAACCCATTGCCCCAAGTCCTAGTTTCCAAGGCAGCAGAAAACAAGCCTGCTCCTTCTTCCTTATGGCATTGTTTCACATATTTGTACATGGCTACCATGTCTCCTCTCAACCTTCTCTTCTGCAGGCTAAACATACCTGGCTCTTTAAGACGCTCCTCATAGGGATTCATGGTCTCCAGATCTTTGATCATTTTAGTTTCCCTCCTCTGGACACTTTCCAGCTTGTCATTATCTCTTTTGAACTGTGGTGCCCAGATTTGGACACAGAACCCCAGGTGAGGTCTAACCAAAGCAGAATATAGAGGCACCATGACTTCCCTTGATCTAGACACTATGTATAGTAGTACTCTCTAATAACAGCATACAACCTCCTCTCCCCACAAATTTGTGAGACCTCCACAACCAAGTTATCAAGTGTTAGCATAATTCAAGATTCAAGCCAACAAATGTCAAGGTCATCCAGAAGGCACACCAGACCTGGTCTTAATGGCCTTTTTGGCCTACAAGCCTGCCGTGAATAGATTAAAGGAGTGTTGAAAGTGATATGTCTTTGTCTTTTTAAATAAAAAGAGACGTATAGGAATCCAGACTAACTGGGAAATATCCTGCATGCAATTTCCCACCCACTGTAGAGAAACAAAATGAGTGTACAGCATAAATCCACTGGATGATGCAGGGCGTTTTATGCACTAACAGAGTAGAAAGAAGGGAGTGTCTCAGTATCACCACAGAACTTGATATCAGTATAGTTCAGTCAGTCTTTTTTCCTCCTCCTTTCACCACTTATCAAAATGTCTGAGGATTTGTTAAAAACCAGAAAGTTAACTTTAAGAACTCTGGGTGTAGCAATCCACATCCAATCAAAGGATTTAGAAACATGTCTGAAAGCATATGGCCTAAAGATCAAAAGCAATAATTAAGCAGTAAAAATAAAAGCGTAGTGATGTGCCATGGAAAATTCTAGGACCCAGTTGTGAACTTGATAGAGAAAAAAGAAACCTGGATGGCTGATCCTAACTAGTCCCATAAAAAATTAAAGGCATATTGTCCTTTATTTCAGATGAGATTTTTACTGTATACATATGAGGGGAAGATGGGAAACACTAACTACGTGAGACACTTGGCTTGATTTCTTGTATATGAGCTGTTGCTATGGAGCTGAACTCCCACAGAACCACTATTTAAAAATTACCCAGTGTGGACTTTGTTATGCCTAGTCAGGTGTGAGTTCCGATAAAACGTCTTCCCACATTTGAGGCACATATATGGTCTCACTCCGGTGTGAATTTGTTCATGCTTCTTAAGACATGCGCGTTGGCTAAAACATTTCCCACACTCCTGGCATTTGTAGGGCTTCTCTCCTGTGTGAATTCTCTGGTGCTGGATCAAATCTGCAATCCCCCGGTACCTCTTCCCACACTCAGAACACAGGTAAGGTTTTTCCCCAGTGTGGATCCTCTTGTGTACAACGAGGTGAGAACTCTGGGAGAAACACTCCCCACACTCGCCACAAATATAAGGTTTTTCTGCTGTATGTATTCTCAAGTGTCTGATGAGATGAGAGCTGACCAAGAAGCCTTTCAGGCAGACAGGGCACCCAAATGGTTTCTCTCCTGTGTGGATTCTCTGGTGGGCAACAAGATTAGAGCTCACGCTGAAGCTCTTTCCACAATCGGGGCATTTATATGGCTTTTCTCCCGTGTGTATCCTCTGATGTGCGATGAGGGTCGAGCTTTGGGAAAAGCTTTTCCCACACTCGGGGCACGTGTAAGGCTTCTCTCCTGCATGGATCCTTTGGTGCTTCACCAGTGCTGAGCTGTCACTGAAGGGTTTCAAGCATTCGCGGCAAACATATGGTTTCTCTCCAGTGTGGGTTCTTCGGTGCCTGATAAGGGGTGAACACCGTTTGAAGACTTTCTCACAATCAGGACACTTATAAATTCTTCCTGGCTTCTGGGTCTGCTTGGGTTCCCCTGCAGTTCTGGATCGTGGCACAGCTCTACGTCTCTCCTTTGGAACAAATACTTGGGTTTCAGGACCAGGCTCAAGGTCAAATGGCTCTTCATCCCCACGAATCTGGAAGACGTTTATTTCATATTCTCCCAGAAAGGGTTCGCCTTCTTCAGCCTGTTCATGAATTGCCATTGGAAAGCTCTCCTCTTCGTTCACCAGATTCACCTCTTCCTCTTCTTCTCCTTCGTCTTCTTCTTCTTGAATTATCACCGCTTCTTCCATCAGATCTGCCTCAAAGTCCTCTGTGAGGATCACCTTTTCTATTATCAGGTTATCATCTTCCTCCTCCTCTTCCTCTTCTTGAATGATCAAGTCTTCTTCAATCAGGTAGTCTTCGTTTCTCATCATCTCTACCTGCTGGAGCAACACATTTGTATCATGGAAATGCAAAATAAGAAGCGGGGAAATTCTTGACAGCAAGACACATTGTTTTTTAGAAAACAAAATTAATAATGGGAAGCAGGATTCCCCATATGAAAGAGGGACTATAGTCAGAGGTGTCAGATGGGGTGTAATGCCCCTGAAACACAGGTTCACAGACTGGGGTTACTCTGGATTTGGCTCTGAACCTTGCAGGGACATGATCCCTGTCATCAGGCAGATGGTTTCTAGACTTTTTTAACCACATTATGGCCAAATGTTAACAGTTATCCAGTGGTATTTTGTGTTTAGTAGGCCCTACTAAGAATTTTCACTTTAGTAACATGTATGTCCTGTTCTCATAGCTATTTGGATGGTAGATGGGTCACACCAAAGCAGTCTTATTTTTTTATTTGGTTTTCGCTCTACGGAACGTAAGGGATGCATCTTACAATAGCTTCATTTGATGTGTGTGTTTGCACCCCAGCCCTGGGGAGCCACAGCCAGCCCTCTACATTCTATGGGATTAGGCACAGTGGTTCTCAACCTGTGGGTCCCCAAATGTTTTGGCCTATGACTCCCAGATATCCCAGCCAGTTTACCAGCTGTTAGGCTTTCTGGAAGTTGAAGGCCAAAACATCTGGGAATCCACAGGTTGAGAACCACTGGATTGGGGGCACAGGACCACTGTGAAAATAAAAAAAAACTCTGAATAAATAAATTGCTTTTAAAAAAATCTGACACTTGATCAACGTCCATTAGAAGCTGGTCATAGAATCACCTTGGAGGACCTAGAGATTCCTAAGTGCTCTCTATGGAAATCTCTAGGTCCTATAGCATGATTTGAGAAGTTGACCATAGAGTCCAACTGGAGGACCATGTAATTACTAGATAGAACATTTTAAATCAAATCTGTGAATAATCAAACCCCCAAAAGTCAAAACTGCAAATGTGGAGGGATTATTATATTTATCTAGCCATAGGGATTGGCATTCAATGGCAAGAAGAAGGTTTTTAAGATCATGTCAGGGGCTACTGTGGTTTTGCATGTTTTTTATGGATTTAATCTGAATTTTTTAAAATACTAATGGTGTTTAATACTGTTTTAATATTGTAAATTAGTATACTGTAAATTGTATTGTAATGTTTTTTTAATGTTAGCTGCTTTGAGTCTCCTTATGAAGAGGAAAAAGCAGGATATAAACAAACATAACAACAACAACAACAACCCCTCTATGTAGCAGTGATATGTGTCAGCCTTCATTACCAAAGATTGGGGGAGACATGGGTGCATCTATACTGTAGAATTCATGCACTTAGAGATCACTTTAATTGCCATGGCTCAATACTATGGAATCATGAAAGTTGTAGGTTTACAAAGCTTTTAGCATGCTCTGCCAAAGAGTGCTGGTGCATCACCAAACTACAACTTCCAGGATCCCACAGCAGTGAGCCGTGGCAACTAAAGTGGTCTCAAACTGCATTCATTCTACAGCATAGATGAAACCCTTAGCACACAGCCACTTCCAGCTCAGAACAGCCCTTTTGTTGAGGATGCAAGGAACTCAACAAGAGATCACTTGGACACAGAACTGCACCATCAATCATTGAACCAGGACCCTCTGTCTCTGTAGTTTCCTCTTCGCAACTGTATGGGATGTGATAAAATGAAAAGAGGGAATTAGTCATATGTTGCCTAGGGCAGTTCATGGCAGGTATTTGCAAACAGGCGCTCTTCTACCTTTTACATTCTGTACTAACCCTAACTTCCAATAAACACACCCCATTACAGGAAAGGAACAAGTGTTTCTGAGCATGGACATCAAGCACTCCTCAGAAACGAACTCAAGCAAAGGAAGGCCAATTATCCCTTCCAGATGGTACTTCATCCCTCCTCTAAGCCCCAGCCAGCAGCTTCAGTCATGAAGAATACTGGGAGATGCAATCAAACAATATGCAGAAGCAGGGATGCTGTTCATCCCTTAGTTTAAATAATGCTGCCACAGCAATAAATGGCTACTTTGCATTAAAATGTTCACAGGTGACCCAAAACTCCCCAAACTCAGTGTATGGTACATGAGAGGTAGAGGGAAATAGGGGACTGTCCCCCCAATAAAGAACCCTGCTCTTCGGGCAATTTTCTTTGCACCTCTAGCACTGCAGTGAGACATTGAAAAACCCTTCACATACCCAGGAACTCTTGTATTTACTGTGTTTCTATTCCCTTGATAAATCTGCCTACTTCTCTTCTTTAGATGCCAAAATAGGATTCCAAATGCTCAACTGAACTTTAATGGTAGAAATTTGGGGACTAAACCAAAATGTCATTAGGAGGAGGAGTGAATTCTGATCTTATAGTGCAGGGGTCCTCAAACTAAGGCCCGGGGGCCGGATGCGGCCCTCCAAGGTCATTTACCCGGCCCTCGCTCAGGGTCAACCTAAGTCTGAAACTACTTGAAAGCACACAAAAAAAACAACAACCCTATCTCATCAGCCAAAAGCAGACCCACACATCCCACTGAAATACTAATAACTTTATATTTGTTAAAATTGTTCTTCATTTTAATTAGTGTATTGTTTTTAAGTGTTTTTTGCACTACAAATAAGATATGTGCAGTATGCATAGGAATTAATTCATGGTTTTTTTTTCAAATTATAATCCGGCCCTCCAACAATTTTGGGGACTATGACCTGGCCCTCTATTTAAAAAGTTTGAGGACCCATGTTATAGAGCAATTGCCTCCCCAAATATTTGCGAATTTTTGTTTCCCTTGTGGTTTTGAAAATCTGAATTCCACACTTGGAATTTTAGTTTGACAGCTGGATTAGTCAGGTTGTTTTGTGATTTTGTTTTGCACTTTACCTGAGCAATTTGTTTTTCCAGATTTTATTATACAATCTTATGCTTTGTCATTCTTCCTTCCCTCTGTATGTGCATGCGTTTACAGTGGACCCTTGGTAGCTATTCTAGGGCTTTCTGTGAATACCAAAATATACTCAAGTCCTCTAATATGCAAGAGCATAGTAAAATCGTGTTCCTTATAGAAAAGGTAAAGGTTTCCCCCATGTAAGCCACCCCGAGTCCCTTTGGGGAGATGGTGGCGAGATAAAAAAATTAAGTTGTTATTATTATTATTATTATTATTATTATTATTATTATTATTATTATTCCCCTTGACATTAAGTCTAGTCGAGTCTGACTCTGGGGGTGGTGTTTATCTCAATTTCTAAGCCAAAGAGCCGGCATTGACCATAGATGCCTGAAAGGTTATGGGGCTGGCATGATTTCATGGAGTACCGTTACCTTCCCGCTAAAGCAGTACATATTGATATACTCACAATATACTCACATTTGCATGTTTTTGAACTGCTAGGTTGGCAGTAGCTGGAGCTAACAACGGGAACTCATCCCATCCTGTGGATTTGAACCAATGACCTTCCAGTCAGCAAATTCTGCAACTTAGCAGTTTAACCCGCTGTGCCACCATGCTGCACATGGTGCTTCTTATACAGAATGACAAAACCAAAGTTTGCTTTTTAGAATTTTAAAATATCTTTTAAAGCTGTGGATCATGGAATTTGAGGCTGCAGAATCTATTGATATGAAGGGCCATCCTGTATACATATACTTTAGGTTGTATACCTTTGGGGGCAGCCACTGTTTTGGGCTGTTTTACTGTATAACGCCGTGTACATTAAATGGTGATATATAAATACATATATAAATAAATGATCATGATAATAATTTCCTCTTCCAAGATCTCTCTTAATCCTCCTGCTGAAGGGCTGACCCTGTCAACACTGAAAGCTCCTCACCAGCTTCTCTGAAATAAAACTCTATGGAGTTCAAGGAGACCAACGCATTTCTATTAAATGTGGGCAGAGGACATAAATACAGCCAATGAGCTATCTTGGAGATGGGACCGAGGTCTAAACACGATGATGTTTTACAGAAACCTTAAAACATGAAGGTCATTTGAAACACATTATTTTTAATTATGTTGTGCAGGCAAAAAAAAAAGTTGTGTATATTGAACCATACTGAACCATCAGTAAAGTAAAGTGGTCACTATCTCAGTCATCCAGGTGGATAAGTTTGGAGCACAGCTGTCCCTCTATATCCACGGATTTTGTACCCAGAGATTCAAGTATCCATGGTCTGAAAACATTTTCAGTAATATCTAAAAAGCAAACCTTGGTATTAGATATCTTTGAATGTACATTAGAGATCTTTGAATGCATATTAGAGATCTTTGAATGCATATTGGAGACCCCAAAGTCTATTTTAGAGATCTCTGAATGTATATTAGAGAACTCTGAATGCATATTAGATACCTCCTAAAGTATATTAGGTATCTCTGAATGTGTATTTGATACTGTCAAATTTGTATTAGATATCTCCAAATATATATTAAATATCTCTAAATATATATTAAATATGTCCTAAAGTATATTAGATACCTCAAAATTTATATTTGATACTGTCAAATGTACATTAGATCTCTCTGAATGTATATTAGAAACCTCCAAGTGTATATTATATATCTCCAAATGTATATTTGACACTGTATATTAGATATCTCTGAATGTATTTTAGGTATCTCCTAAAGTATATTAGATATCTCCAAATGTATATTGGTAACCTTCAAATGTATATTAGATATCTCTGAATTAGTATAAGATGCCTCCAAGTGCATATTACTAGATATCTCTAAAAGTATATTAGATATCTCAGAATGTATATTAGATATCTATGAATGTGGCATCTCTGAATGTGTATTAGATATCTCCAAATGTGTATTAAGATGCTTCTGAATTTATATTACTAGATATTTCCAAATGTATATTAGATATCTCCTAATACATATTAGATGCCTCTGATTGTATATTACTAGATAGCTCTGAATGCACATTAGATATCTCCAAATATATTTTAAATATCCTCTAGTATATTAGATATCTCCAAATATATACTAGAAACCTCCAAATGTATTTTAGATATCTCCAAATGGATATATCTCCAAATGGATATTTGATACTGTTAAATGTAGATTAGATATCTCTGAATGTGTATTTGGCATATCCGAATGTGTATTGGGCATCTCCTAATACATATTCGATGTCTCCTGATGTGTATTACAGATCTCTGAATGTAGAGGTATCTCTGAGTGTATATTTGACATCCCTGAATGCATATTAGACATCTTCTAATTCAGGCTTGGGCAAAGTTGGGCCCTACAGATGTTTTGGACTCCACCTACCACAATTCCTAACAACCGGTAGTCTGTTAGGAATTGTGGGAGTTGAAGTCCAAAACACCTGCAGGGCCTAAGTTTTCCCACGCCTCTTCTAATGGTATATTACACATTTCCAAATGTATATTTGATATGTCTAATGTTTATTAGATATCTCTGAATGTATATTAGAGATATCTGTAAGTGTGTATTTGACATCTCTGAATGCATATTAGAATTTTCCTAATGGTATATTAGACATCTTATATATACTATATATTCCAAAATCTCTCTGAATGCGTATTAGACATTTCCAAATGTGTATTAGGCACCTTCAAATACATGTTAGATGTCTCCTAATGGTATATTAGACATCTTATATATACTATATATTCCAAAATTTGTCTGAATGTATATTAGGCATTTCTGAATGTGTATTAGGCACCTTCAAATACATGTTAGATATCTCCTAATGGTATATTAGACATCTTATATATAATATATATTCCAAAATCTCTCTGAATGTGTATTAGGCACCTTCAAATACATGTTAGACGTCTTCTAATGGTATATTAGACATCTTATATATAATATACATTCCAAAATCTCTCTGAATGTGTATTAGGCACCTTCAAATACAAGTTAGACGTCTTCTAATGGTATATTAGACATCTTATATATAATATATATTCCAAAATCTCTCTGAATGTGTATTAGGCACCTTCAAATACATGTTAGACGTCTCCTAATGGTATATTAGACCCCTTATATATAATATATATTCCAAAATGTGTCTGAATGTGTATTAGGCATTTCTGAATGTGTATTAGGCACCTTCAAATACATGTTAGACATCTCCTAATAGTATATTAGACCCCTTATATATAATATATATTTCAAAATCTCTCCGGATGTGTATTAGGCATTTCCAAATGTGTATTAGGCACCTTCAAATACATGTTAGATATCTCCTGATGGTATATTAGTCCCCTTATATATAATATATATTTCAAAATCTCTCTGAATGTGTATTAGGCACCTTCAAATACATGTTAGATGTCTCCTGATGGTATATTAGACCCCTTATATATAATATATATTCCAAAATTTGTCTGAATGTATATTAGACATTTCTGAATGTGTATTAGGCACCTTCAAATACATGTTAGACATCTCCTAATAGTATATTAGACCCCTTATATATAATATATAATCCAAAACCTTGGGTTTCTGAGGCATCCGCTTAGGAAGCAGTCCAAAATCAGGCCCCAAATCCTAAACCCACACCAGGACTGATCCCAGTCGTTTTGAAGGATAAGGGTCTACTCCACCTTTTTCTCCTCCTCCTCCTCCTCCTTTCTCCTTTCATCTCCTGTCTCTGATTCTTCCTTATAATGGGGGGAATCTCTGTGATTGAGGCTCCAACGTCAAATGGCTGCCTTGGACAGGAGTCAAGTCCTCCCTTGGGTCGGGGCTGGATCCCAACCCGGCTCCCCTTTAAAGGGGACCAAGCAGGGGACCAGGCAGGGGGATCCCCACCCCTGAGGCCTACTCCACCTCCATGCAGGCTTACCTATCTTCCCGCAGAAGCGACAGCAGCGTCCCTTTTGTTCTCGCCTTCCTCGGCTTTCTCCTCCCTCGGTCTCGGGATCCCACCCACCTCCGCGCCGTGATCCAGCCCCTTCCTGGGTGGGAGGCCTTCGCCAGAGACCCTGCTCCGTCCCTGTCTGTCTCTCTGCCTGCCTGGCAATGAATGGAGAGGAAGCTGCAGCTTGACGCCTGTCTCCCTCCTTCCTTCCTTGCTTCCTTCCTTTCTTCCCTCCCTCCTTCTTTCCTCTTCCTTCCTTCAGCCTGTCTGGATCCGACATTTTGAGGCAGAGATTTGTCCAGGGTTTAAGTCACCAGTTGGACTAGAAATAAAGCCATTCCTTTCATCCAAGGCTTCTCTATTCAGGAGAGTAAACAAAGAGTCACTCCATTCACTTCAACAAAGGGAGGCATCTTCTAGACTAGGCTTGGGCCAACTTGGGCCTTCCAAGCTGGAATGTGTCCAGAGGGGGGCGACTAAAATGATCAAAGGTCTGGAGAACAAGCCCTATGAGGAGCGGCTTAAGGAGCTGACCATGTTTAGCCTGAAGAAGAGAAGGCTGAGAGGGGATATGATAGCCATGTATAAATATGTGAGAGGAAGCCACAGGGAAGAGGGAGCAAGCTTGTTTCCTGCTTCCTTGGAGACTAGGACGCGGAACAATGGCTTCAAACTACAAGAGAGGAGATTCCATCTGAACATGAGGAAGAACTTCCTGACTGTGAGAGCCGTTCAGCAGTGGAACTCTCTGCCCCGGAGTGTGGTGGAGGCTCCTTCTTTGGAGGCTTTTAAGCAGAGGCTGGATGGCCATCTGTCAGGGGTGATTTGAATGCAATATTCCTGCTTCTTGGCAGGGGGTTGGACTGGATGGCCCATGAGGTCTCTTCCAACTTTTCGATTCTATGCTTCTATGAATGGTGGGAGTTGGAGTCCAAAACACCTGGAAGGCCCAAGTTGGCCCAGGCCTGGCCCAGGTTGAGTCATTTTGGGAATGTAACCTTCAGATTTCCCCAGCCAATAGGACCATTACTTCCCAGGAGGCCTCTTATGTTGATTATTCCAATCCTAAATTGGGACATGTGCGTCTACACCAGTGGTTATCAACCTTCCTAATGCCACAACCCCTAAATACAGTTCCTCCTGTTGTGGTGACTCCCCAGCCATAAAATTGTTTTCATAGCTACTTCAAAACTGTACTTTTGCTACTGTTATGAATCGTAATGGAAATATCAGAGATGCAGAATGTATTTTATTTATTTACCTTACTTATATACCGCTGTTCTCAGCCCGAAGGCGACTCACAGCAACAAATACGAACAGCAAAAATTCAGTGCTACAGTATAGAAACAGTTAACAACCTAACACACTACACAATCAACAAACAGTTACTACAATACCCATTCACTGTCGTCTCGTCATCAAAAACATGTTCCAGATTCGTCATCCATTGTTCCATTCCAGTGTTCATTAACCAATCATTGCACTAATTATTCGAACGCCTGCTCAAACAGCCAGGTCTTCACTATTTTCCTTCATTGGATCAAATTGGACTTACTTACTTACTTACTTAGGCGATCCCCCGTTGGACGAGTAAGATGGTCTTCCATTATGCGTTTCCTTGTGGGTTCGTAGGTGGCTGTGGAGCCCTATTCTTGACCCGCATCTTCTCCCACAGTGAGAGCATTGGTTTCCAGGTGGAAGGTGGTCCCTGTCGGGGTTGGCTTGACGCGCCTTCCTCCTGGCACGTTTCTCTCTTTCGCCCTCCACTCGTGCCTCCTCGAATTCTGTAGCACTGCTGGTCACACCTGACCTCCAGCTGGAGTGCTCAAGGGCCAGGGCTTTCCAGTTCTCAGTGTCTATGCCAGAGATTTTAAGGTTGGCTTTGAGGCCATCTTTAAATCTCTTTTCCTGTCCACCAGGAATTGGACACAAATACCCGATATGCCTAAATCTGGATACTGATGGGATTTGGGCGAGGGGGGGGGATATATTTGCTGGGATTTATAGTTAACCTGGAGCCCCCAGTGGTTTAACCCTGAGCTGCTAAACTTGTTGACCGTAAGGGGAGCGGTGTGAGCTTCTGCTGTCAGCCCCAGCTTCTGCCAACCTAGCAGTTCGAAGACATGCAAATGTGAATAGATCAATAAGTACCGCTCCGGTGGGAAGGTAACGATGCTCCATGTAGTCATGCTGGCCACATGACCTTGGAGGTGTCTATGGACAATGCTGGCTCTTCGGCTTAGAAATGGAGATGAGCACCAACCCACAGAGTCGGACACAACTCGACTTAATGTCAGGGGAAATCTTTACATTTATTTATATCCTGCTTTTCTCCCTCACGGGACACAGAGCAGACTACAACATATTAAAATAATATAAACAGCAATCCAAATACATTGATTTTTATTTATTGTGTCATCAGCAACCAGACATTTGTATTACATTTTTAACAAAAACAAACAAACAGACAAAACACAGAATTTGCAAGCTTGGTAGTTGATTAAATGTCCTTTGACCAGTATCTGGCCACTTGGAGTGCCTCTGGTGTTGCCGCAAGGAGGTCCTCCATTGTGCATGTAGCAGGGCTCAGGTTGCATTGCAGCAGGCGGTCTGTAGTTTGCTCTTCTCCACTCTCGCATGTCGTGGATTCGACTTTGTAGCCCCATTTCTTAAGATTGGCTCTGCATCTCATGGTGCCAGAGCGCAGTCTGTTCAGCGCCTTCCAAGTCGCCCAGTCTTCTGTGTGCCCAGGGGGGAGTCTCACATTTGGTATTAGCCACTGATTGAGGTTCTGGGTTTGAGCCTGCCACTTTTGGACTCTCGCTTGCTGGGGTGTTCCAGCGAGTGTCTCTGTAGATCTTAAAAAACTATTTCTTGATTTAAGTCGATGACGTGCTGGCTGATACCCAAACAAGGGATGGGCTGGAGATGTCGCTGCCTTGGTCCTTTCACTATTGGCTGCTACTTCCCAGCGGATGTCAGGTGGTGCAATACCGGCTAGACAGTGTAATTTCTCAACATTGATGACAAGTGTAAAACACCATACAGTCATGCTGGCCACATGACCTTGGAGGTGTCTGTGGACAATGCTGGCTCTTCAGCTTATAAATTGAGATGAGCACTACCCCCCAGAGTCGGACACAACTATACAATGTCAGGGGAAACCTTTACCTTTATTTATATCTTGCTTTTCTCCCTCACGGGACCCAAAGCAGACTAAACATATTAAAATAATGTAAACAGCAATCCAAATACATTGATAATACGTATAAAACATCATAAAATAAACCATTTAAAGCAATAGCATACATTCACATTCTTGTAGCTTCATGTCAAATTAGATTGCACTTTGTCCCAGTGCATAAACATTATGGTGTTTCTGATTACACCAGCCTAGTTTCCTTCACTAAAGGCCTGTCTAAACAGGAAAGGCTTTGCAGCAGCCAGGGATACATTCTGTCTCCCCCTCCCTTTTTATTACAAAATAACTCCTTAAATCTTAAATGTGTTATCCTTTTTTTCTGATTCTTTGTATCCTTTTTGCCTCCCATGTCTTTCTTTCTCTCCTCTTTACCTCTTGCAGCTTGGCCCGCATTATAGCCCCAACTGCCCTCAGAACGGGGCTCCTTTTCTTCTTTCCCTCAGAACATAACCTCCCTTCACCCCAACTGACCTCGAGTCAACCCTTGCCCTTTGTGGGTACCCTGGCTTCCACGGTTGGGTTCCCCCGGTATCCACGGACCCCCTTTGTGTGTAATATGCATAGTATTTGATGTTTTATAAACTTTTGGAGACATTAAGCCACCAAGCAAGATTCTTGTAACCTTTCACCGGCACCTCTTGATCCTGTAATAATAATAATAATAATAATAATAATAATAATAATAATAGTATTTTTATTCCTGCTTTTCTCCCATAGGTGGGGCTGAAAGTGGCGAAGAAATTGTTAAAAAACAGAAATTACATGATACAAGAGCACAACATCAGTCCCCCCAACCAAAACAAATATACAATAGGCAAAAACATATTGCATAAACCATATTTATTTAATAGGTTCTTGTGGGTTTTTTCGGGCTATAGGGCCATGTTCTAGAGGCATTTCTCCTGATGTTTCGCCTGCATCTATGGCAAGCATCCTCAGAGGTAGTGAGGTTTATTTATTTATTTATTTATTTAAAACATTATATTCCTCCCTTTTCACCCCGAAGGGGACTCAGGGCGGAGCACAGCATATACACGGCAAACATTCAATGCCGGGAAACAGATTCACATACAATACATAAACATTAAAAAGCATTTATCAAAATATTAAAATACACCATTTAAAACCGTCCTAGTCATCCGCGTGAAATCATTGGCCTGGTCATCTTTCTTATTGCCGTTTTATTGTCCTGACCGGAAAGCTTGGTCCCACAGCCAAGTTTTTTCCATCCTTCTAAAGGACAGGAGAGAGGGGGCTGACCTGATCTCACCAGGAAGGGAGTTCCATAGCCAGGGAACAATCACTGAGAAGGCCCTGTCTTTTGTCCCCACCAATTGTGCCTGTGACAAAGGCAGGACGGAAAGCAGGGCCTCCCCGGAGGATCCTAATCTCCGCGATAGTTGCATTTATAGTGAAAAGTCCCTGGGCCTCAGGCCAGTGAGGTTGTCCTTAAAACATTATACTAAGAATCCTCGAAGCTCCGCATCTTTGGCCGTGAGAACCTTGCCAAACTGAGATGGCCTTCAATGATGTGTCTTGGCAATAGGTAAAGGTAAAGGTTTTTCCTGACATTAAGTCTAGTCGTGTCTGACTCTGGGGTTGGTACTCATCCCCATTTCGAAGCCAAAGAGACAGCATTGTCCATAGACACCTCCAAGGTCAAGACTGCATAGAGTGCCATTACCTTCTTGCCCATAGCAGTACCTATTAATCTATTCATATTTGCATGTTTTCTAACTGCTAGGTTGGCAGAAGCTGGGTCTAACAGCGAGAGCTCACGCTCCTCCATTGATTCGAACTGCCAATCTTTCAGTCAGCAAATTCAGCAACTCAGCGGTTTAACCTGCTGCACCACTAAGGCCGCTAGCTTATTATGGGTTGTTGGGAAAGGCCTACTTCTACAGAAAGGTTTAAACCTGAGAGTGAAAGGCAAGTAATTAAGGGGCCAAATGCACCTCTTTGGAGAGGGAGTTCCAGAGCCATG